TATTATTTAAAGGCAAATAGTTCATGGGTATTTGATGCCACCTAATTCTATATAAGAAAGTATGGTACTTGTATAGCATTATTTCATTTTCTGTCCCCTATTGCTTATATCACTGTCTGCATTACTGTTTTCAAGGATTTTCTTCAGATTGCTTGCATTATTTACATTATTCCAAGTTAAATCTCATTTTGCTGGCAATATTCCTAGTCCCTCTAGATCCATTTCAATCATTTCTTATGGCCTTGCTTGCATTTGCAATTCATCCAAAGCATCATCTGAAAATGTCAACAACATGCTAGTTATGCCCTCTTCTAAATCATTAGTGAAAATACTGGGTAAGACAGAGCCTGACACAGATCCTTTTGGTATCTCCATTCGACACTTCACACAAAGTATTATCTACCCTGTATTTATGTTTCTTCAGCCAGTTTTCACCAACGTCATTTTCCAGATCCAAGCCAATTTGAATTAATTTTGAAGGTACGATTCCATTGGCTTCACTTTAGAACTGCACACACACACATCCACAATAGAATTTGGCCCTAAGATATTGGAAAAGATCAGTCGAAAATATTAGAATAAACAGTTAGTCTTACCCTAGTATACAGCTGCTACCCCTTTCAAATGCAACTTGCTGTGACTACCAGAATTTAATTATCCCAGGATTCATGTACACATCTGCAACATCATTATTTGAGTTCGTTAAGCCTTTATGTTCCAGTTGTTACAAAAAACTTTACAGGTGATAAATTGAACAGTTAAGGAGAGTTGTTGCTGTATAAAAATATGTTATCAAATAGGGTTTACTCTGATCCAAACTATTTTAAGGCTATATACACTTGCTATATAGCATTTATAAAAGAACCTGCCCCCCCACTGTAAAATTAAATAGAATAATTTGTTGGCTGTATTTTTACTCCAAATACTTACCATAAACACAGTAAGTGTATCATTTCAATTGGAAAGGCTTTTTACACTAGTAGTGTTTCTTGTGTCTTCTCCTAGATGCCCCTTCACTTCCTCAAATTAAAAATGGCTAAAATTGAGCTAATCTTTTTGGCTTTGTGAAATACCATTGACAACAATATCATTCTCCCTGTTGCCCAGGCTTGCAACCTCATGGTCATTTTCAACTCTTCTCTCTCTTTCCCGCCTCACACATCCAGGTGTTTGCCAAATCAAGACATTCCCTCCCTCATCCCGCACACAGAACATATCAAAAAACTTTCCTTTCAGCAAAAGGCTTGGTTATCTTCTATCCAAATAACTGCTTTTGAGGTTCAGAGTAGGGATGGCAGTTACACTCTATCTCAAACCAATCATTGTCTCCTTCAATCTCAGGTCAGGCTCACCTTTCTCAGAGAAAGGCTTTATTTTATTGGTTTGCTTGTTAGAGGCTAAGAGAACCTGTTTGATTCTGGTATGAATATCGTTCAGCTGGGTGAAACATTCTACTCATAGTTTGGTGGGACACTATTCTAATCTTTTGTCCACAACTATGGTTACAATACCTCTGAAACCCCATGTTCCCCAGCTGCATCCTCAGAGGTCATCATAGAATCATAGGACTGGAAGGGACCCCGAGAGATCATCTAGTCCAGTCCCTACACTCATGGCAGGACTAAAGTATTATCTTAACCATCCCTGTCAGGTGTTTGTCTAACCTGCTCTTAAAAATCTCCAGTGATGGAGATTCCACAACCTCCATAGGCAATTTATTTCAGTGCTTAACCACCCTGACAGGAAGTTTTTCCTAATGTCCAACCTAAATCTCCCTTGCTGCAATTTAACTCCATTGCTTCTTGTCCTATCCTCAGAGGTTAAGAACAATTTTTCTCCCTCCTTGTAACAACCTTTTATGTACTTGAAAACTGTTATCATGTCCCCGCTCAGTCTTCTCTTTTCCAGACTAAACAAACCCAATTTTTTCAATCTTCCCTCACAGGTCATGTTTTCTTAGGGTGACCAGACAGCAAAGGTGAAAAATCTGGATGGGGGTGGGGGATAATAGGAGCCTATATAAGAAAAAGACCCCAAATCAGGACTGTCCCTATAAAATTGGGACATCTGGTCACCCTATGTTTTCTAGACCTTTAATCATTTTTGTTGCTCTTCTCTGGACTTTCTCCAATTTGTCCACATCTTTCCTGAAATGTGGCACCCAGAACTGGACACAATACTCCAGTTGAGGTCTAATCAGCACGGAGTAGAGCAGAAGAATTACTTCTTGTGTCGTAGTATATTGAAGGCCTGTGACAGATGAAGTGGGAGGAATATTGATTAAAAAACTAGAACAATATATAATTAACATGGCACACATTAAAAGGATTAAAAACTGGCTAACTGAAAGGTCTCAAAATGTAATTGTAAATGGTAAATCAGCATCAAGCGGGTGTGTTTCTAGTGGGGTCCTAAAGTCCTCTGTTCTTGACCCTACACTATTTAACATTTTTATTGATGACCTGGAAGAAAACATAAAATCATCACTGATAAAATTTGCAGATGCCACAAAAATTGGAGGAGTGGGAAACACTGAAGAGGTTAGGAGTACTTGTGGCACCTTAGAGACTAACCAATTTATTTGAGCATAAGCTTTCGTGAGCTACAGATCACTCACTGATACAGAGCTGTCTGGATTGCTTGGTAAACTGGGATCAATGTGTTTTAATATTGCTAACTGTAAATGAATATTTCTAGGAACAAACAATGTATGCCAGACTTACACAATGGGGAACTCTATCCTGGGAAGCAGTGACTCTGAAAAAGAGTTCGGGGTTGTGATGAATAATCAGCTGAACTTGAGCTCCCAGTGTGAAGCTGTGGCCAAAATCCATGGCTGCATTATCAGGGGAATATCAAGTAGGAGTAGAGAGGTTATTTTACCTCTGTATTGGGCATTGTTGCAGTCACTGCTGGAATATGTGTCCTGTTCTTATGTCCACAATTTAGGAAGGATGTTGATAAAGGGAGAGGGTTTGAAGAAGAGTCACGAGAATGATTGAAGGATTAGAAAACATGTTTTATAGTGATAGACTCAAGGACCTGAGTTTATTTACTTTAACAAAAGAGAAGGTTAGGGGGTTACTTGATTACAATTTATAGGTACCTGCCGGGGAACAGACATTTGATAATGAGGTCTTCAATCTAGCAGAGAAAGATACAACGCGATCCGATGGCTAGAAGGTGAAGCTAGACAAATTCAGACTATAAAATAAGGAAATAAGATATAGATTTTTAAGAGTGAGGGTAATTAACCATTGGAACAATTTACCAAAGGTTATGTTGGAGTCTCCTTTAAAAACAAGATTGCATATTTTTCTAAAAGCTATGCTCTAGGAATTATTTTGGGGAAGTTCTATGGTCTGTGTTATGCAAACTAGATGATCACAATGGTCCCTTCTGGCCTTGGAATCAATGACAAATGTCTAGAGCCCCAATGCTAAATGTCTCATTCCAAGCCTGAGTGATTGTAGCATAAAGAATTTTGGAAGCCCTGTGCCATAGATAGGCAAGAGGTAAAGAAAGGTTCCTTGTCAGTGCTGTAATAAGTGCATTTGCCCCTCTGATTTCTTTTTGGCCAGAGTTACAGAACTTCCTTTCTTGGTCTTGTGGTATATTTAAAACTGTTAAAATTGTAAAATATCACCTTCAGTTGTCAAGGGCTTTCCTGGTCCTGCTTGTAAGATATGGGGCTCTGTAGGAAAGCGTGCCATCTGGGTCAATCTGCGCAAAGAGCCAGCCTAGAGCAAGGTGGGGTGACTTGTGCCTCTTTGCGTTAGGGAGCAGCTGCTTTTTCTCTCTCTGTCTTTGGTTTTTGCAAGTTAGAGTTCAGGATTCTAAGAAATAAAGTGATGTTATGTTGCAGCCTTCCAGAAAGAGTGTTTTGTTTTTTCTAACTTCTCTTTCCGTATCCCATGAACATAACAAGCCTTATTCTTGCTGACCTCAACAGACATGATTATCTGCATGGAGTTTAATATCAAGGAATTGGTTTGAGAGGAGATTACAATAAGTATACTTGTCTATGGCAAACTTAGGTCCCAATTCTGACAACACTGTTCCATGTGCTGAACTATAGAACTATTCACATGAGCAGTTAAGTACATGCATGAGTGTTTGCAGGCAGGGCCATCCCTAAGGGGATGCGGGGCCTGGGACAAATCAGCCTCCCCGCTAGCCTCCTCGCTGTCTGCCCAGCATGCCTGCCTGCCCAGCCACCACTCACTTCCTTATCCTCCCGACCACTGCTCTCCTCCTTGCCATCCTTCTGCCTGCTCTCCGCTCGCTTCCCCACTAGTCTCCTCACCGTCCGTCCGGCATGCCTCCCCGCCTGACCACCACTCTACTCCTTGCCGTCCTCCCACCCGCCTGCCTCCTCACCCCCTGCCCGCCTGCTGCTCACCTCCTCACCCACCTCCCCGCCGCTCGCCTCCCCGTTAGCCTCCTCCCCTGAATACTGGGACAAATGGCGTCCCAATCGTACATTGGTCAGGACTCAGGACAAAGGGCTAAATATCAGGACAGTCCCAATTTTATTGAAGTGTGGGGCCCCCCTAAGTGCAGGGGCCGGGGCAGTCACCCCGATTTGCCCTATCCAAGGGACGGCTCTGTTTGCAGGATCAGAGCCTTATCTTTAAAAAAAAAATTGTCATTAATGCTGTAAATTTTTTTCTTCTTGAATAAGTGCAACATGGTAATTTTTTTACCAGAAATACCTCTTTCCAAACTGAGTCTGCATCCAAAGTTGATATCAGAGATGTTGAGTTCAAAGATGCTGCATGCAGTGACAGCTTTTGGCTTTAAGACAATGTGGAAAATGAACGTGATCAAAGACAACTTCAGTAAATAAATTCTGGTTATGAAAAAGAACCAATGTGTATTTTGTGAAGAGATGGTAGCAAGCAAAGAATGTACTGCTGCACTGAAATATCAACTTGAGAAATGTAATTACATTCCCTTTAAACTTTTCTTTTTTCCCCCTTTCTTTCTTCACTTTTCAGATCAATAACACGATCTTATTACCGCAATTCTGTTGGTGGCTTACTGGTGTTTGACATCACAAACCGGCGATCTTTTGAGCATGTGAAAGACTGGCTAGAAGAAGCTAAAATGCATGTACAGCCATTTCAGATTGTGTTTCTGTTAGTTGGACATAAATGTGATTTAGTGTCACAGCGTCAGGTTACAAGAGAAGAAGCTGAAAAACTGTCATCTGCCTGTGGTATGAAATACATAGAAACCTCAGCAAAAGATGCCACAAATGTTGAAGAATCCTTTACAATTCTGACCCGAGACATATATGAACTTGTAAAGAAAGGAGAAATTTCTATACAGGATGGATGGGAAGGTGTTAAGAGTGGCTTTGTTCCAAATGTTGTCCATTCATCAGAGGAAGCTGTAAAGCCTAGAAGACGATGCATCTGCTAAACTCATAGCATGCCAAAGAGCATATCAGGTGTTCAGAGAATGATACCAACATAAATAACATCACTTTGAAGACATAATAGATCATGATGTAGCTGAATCACCAAATGATAATTCATTTTTGTATCATTTTGTCTCACTCACAACTTCATAAAATTTAAAGTGCTTTTTCCCCACAATACAATAACTTTGAGCAGTCTTCAAGAAAATAAATTAGATATTGCTTAAGGAAAAATATGTGCTAAGTAGCAAGATGTTGAGAAAATGCAATAATCATCATGGTAGCATCCTTTATGGGCTTTGTATTTTGAACAGAGTTTAAAATCAGGCTCTTGTGTATAGGCTAAGTGTTGATAAGCTCATTGCTTCAGTTCATCCTGCCTCCATTTGGGATAAAAATATTATAACCTGTACTTTTTTTATTGTGATTTTTCATTCACTAAGATGGATTTGCTAAAAGACAGTTAAGATTTAGAGCACTGTAGAATTTAATAATATAAATCACTTCGAAGAAAGCAAACTGAAACATTGCTCCATCAGTGAACACTTTTGTTATGACTGTGAATACAAGCCTTACTAAGGAACAAGAATGTATTTGAGAAGACTAATATATTTATATACTAAAACAGGGAACAGAAGAAATGCAGTTTAGTGTGAAATATTTTCCGAATCACCAGTGTAACTAGATGTAATGAAACAAATGGTACAGCCATTATTCTAGATGCACAGAAAATAGATTTTCCAACTACTAGCAGCTATATACCAAGAAGGTAATTTAAAATTTGTGAAGTGTAAAATTTTTGTTCAAAAGAGGAGTTGCTTTAGGCAAGTATGATTATCATACATTTTAAGGAATCAGTTTATACTTCTGAACTATAATAATTAATTCATTCACGAAAATATTTATCACAGTTGATAACCTAATATTCATTGGGCCAGATCCTCAGCTGGGATCACTGGCGTAAAGTTACACCAATTACACAAGCTGAAGATCTTGCCCACCAGCTTTAGAGAATAATTTTGATTCTGACTAGGAGTAAAATTCAAGAAAATATTTAGGGCTGTGTCCTAAGGGGACTCCTGCCCTGAATATGGAGAAAATAGGGATTGGTTTATTCTCAGCCACTCTTTGTCTAACTGTGGTCCACAGAATGAAAGGTTCTGAGAATCTAGCAGTTGGGAATTGGCATGTTGGGAGGGGAGGGAGTCCATAAAAGGATTTCACTCTTAGGAGGTAGGCACAGAATGAAAAAAGGTGGAGGATCCCTGCTCTAAGAAAACAAAGAACACTGAATCCTAAACTAAGAAATTTGACCCAGCAGGCCTGCTGCATTTTATCTGACCTTGGGCTCACCTTCCTAACTACCTATGGGCATAACACATACTTGCTTTGTGCAAAATATTCCCCTATGTGTCACTTTTATGCCAAGGAACCCAATGTCACTTGTATCTTGGCAGCAAAACAGATGGATGGCTCACAGCTGATGAGCGCTCACCTCTGAATCAATTGCACTAAAAATCCCTTGACTTCAAATGGCATTGAACTGAACTCTTCAAGGGCCTGATTCTCATTTATATTAAGGCCCCTTTATGCTGGCAGAGTGAGACAAAGGGGCCTTAGTATAAATGGGAATCTGGCCCTAAGACTCTAGTGCCATACTATAGCAGTTAACAAAAATCTGCTGTGTGCTGTGAACCAACCTATTCCTGTGTGTGACATGCTGCTAGAGGCAAGGGGCCTGATTCTCCACTGACTTTCACCTTTTAGAACTTGTCTATACAAATACTTAGTTTACAGCTAGCTGGGGTGATGCAGCACATTAAGGGTATGTCTACACCGCAAGGAACACCCAATGGCACCAAGTCTCAGAGCCCAGGTCAACTAACTCGGGCTCGTGGAGCTCCGGCTGCAGGGCTAAAAATAGCAGCATAGACATTCAATCTGGTGCCATACCCCCCACTTTTTAACATGGGTGTAGTTTTTGGGGGCAGAGTTGGCACCTGCATGAGGCTTGCAATTCTGGGGGGGCAATGCCACTCCCTGCTACCCAAAATATGACCATGTTAAAATGGGGGAATGCATAGCCTCCTGGTTCCGACATGGCCCTCCCACTGTTACAAAGGTTCCAGGGCCCTTGCTTATAGGTCTCAAAATATTTCCTCAAAGCTTATAAGGGAGACAGAGTGGTTTGAGCATTGGCCTGCTAAACCGAGGGTTGTGAGTTCAATCCTTGAGGGGGCCATTTAGGGATCTGGGACAAAAAAAAATTGTTGATTGTGCCTGCTTTAAGCAGGGGGTTGGACTAGATGATCTCCTGAGGTCTCTTCCAACTCTGATATTCTATGATTCTAAGACCTGAATTCTGACTCATTGTGTAACCATGGGCAAGTCACTTAACCTCTGTGCCTCGGTTTCCTCATCTCTAAAATAGGAATGATAATTCTTACTCACCTTTGCAAAGCCACTGAGATCTAGTACAACTATAAACTCTTGGGGGCAGGGACCCTTTTACCTGTGTGATTGTACAGCACCTGTCACAATGGAACCTGGAGATTATGGCTGCTACCACAATGCAAATAATAGTTACATGGATGAATAGAGATATAAGTGCTAAGTATTATTATTTTAAGTCTACATTTAATTGCACGCATCCCCAGGCCAAAATTGTTAATTTTGAAAAAAGATTCCTGAATACTCTGCAGCCAACACACTTTTCTTTCTATGTGGAAGATTTTTGGTGTTGGAACAGTGAGGAAATATGCACAGACTAATGAAACAATCATCAGAATAGAGCCTTAATGATCTCTATTAGGAATGTTGTAGTCTTCAATTAATTATGGTGGGAGGAGTGGTTTAACCAGATTTGACTGTGTGGGGAATTGCCAGAGCCAATGAAACCAGAAAGGATTTGCAATGCATTTTAAAGTGCTGTGCACATATTCATCTTATTTGTAGCACCTATAACTGTAGAGTAATGTGTAAATTCGAACATTGCATATTAAAATGATACAGTATCTTCTCACTACACACATTTAATAGAAGTCGCTGCTGTACAGCTGACTTGCTGAAAAGTATGAACTTGCTTTTATATGTTTTGCAGTGCAATATATAAGTAACAGCTTGAGCACGCTGTAGATGTCTGATTATATTTTAATGCACCTTAATTCTTTTTTCAAGAAAGTTTAAAGATAATCACTTGAAACTAATAGTGGAGCTTAATATTGTTCTTTATAGATAATTTTGCCTGCCAAATTAAAACACAGACATGGTCGAGGGAAATATAATCCTTTACAAATTAAATATTTTTTTCTGAAGTATTTTATGTATGGTAAGTCCCATTTATGGATAAATAGAATTATAAAAACAAGTCTGTCTGCATTTGGATTCCAGTGTCCACTAATGCAGTGGTTCTCAACCAGGGGTACGCAGAGGTCTTCCGGGGGTACATCAACTCATCTAGATACTTGCCTAGTTTTACAACAGGCTACATAAAAAGCACGAGCAAATTCGGTACAAACTAACATTTCATACAGACAATGACTTGTTTATACTTCTCTGTATACTATACACTGAAATGTAAGTACAATATTTATATTCCAATCATTTTATTTTATAACTATATGGGAACAATTAGAAAGTAAGCAATCATTCAGTAATAGTGTACTGAGACACTTTTGTATTTTTAAGTCTGATTTTGTAAGCAAGTAGTTTTTAAGTGAGGTGAAACTTGGAGTACACAAAACAAATCGGACTCCTGAAAGGGGTACAGTAGTGGGAAAAGGTTGAGAGCCACTGATCTAACAAAATTCTGGCATCCAAAACTTTGGTTTGTGACCCGCCACTAAAATTTTAAAAACGTAATTAGAGCTTTAAGATGTTTGAAAATTTGCTAGTGAAGAAAAATAATCTTGCTCTGCTCACCAAAATGCTTTATGCCGTAGAGTTCTTCAGATAACTGTGGCTTACAATGCACCGTAAGTGGCAGCAAGTAGCTTAGGAGCAGATCAGAGAATGAATTGTGACTCAAATTGTTAGTCACAGTTTCTCCCCCGCTCTCCCATCCTCTGAGAGGGAGGGGAGTATGTCACTTAGCCTCTTTTCCTGATGCAGCTTGCTCCCCACTGTGCATCCAGCCAGCCATTCTGGCCTGCCGGTGGAGAGAACAGAGCCTGGGCTCCTCTCACTCTCCACTTCTCACCGTCCTTGCTTTCCCAATGGAGCTGGAGCCATGGCCTAAGCAGCCCTTATTCAGCCATGTAGGGAAGAAAGGGGTGGAGGGGCAGGGCTTAGTCCCCTGCGTGTAAGAGCTGTGGCAATCTAGCCAAAATGTTTTTAAATATTTTACAAAACCACATGAGACAATTATTAATAGTTAAGATTCTCCTTGCTGGTTTTGCAGAGACAATCTTCTAAATAATTTCATGGAATGCTATTCCCAGAGCAAAATATTTGAACATAGTAGTATTTTCAGCAATCCGTAATTACCAAAATCACCACACGTTAACACCACAGTAGTCTGACAATAATAATTATGAATTTCAAAGGAACATGTACTATCCTTCATGGAACTGAGTTTACACATATTCATTTCAGAGACTGTGTACTACAAAATAATAAAGGTTGTAACCAAATTATTTGTAAAATTATATAAACCACTTTACAAGAATTAGTTGCTATGATTTGCACAACAAAATAAAGAGATTATGAATGTGCTAGAAGAAAAATCTGATTGCTTGTCAGTGATTCTTTAATATTTATTTATGTATTTATATTGCCATAGCACCTTGAGTCCTAGTCATGGACCTGACTAACAGGATAAGGAATAGTATTACCAGTTTCTGTACGTATTTAGAAATAGGAGTATTTGTGTTGAATGCCACATTCAGCTGGCCATCCACTTAGGAGAAAAAAACTTCCAAAAGCATATCTCATTGGTGCACCTACACTTTCTATTGGCTCCCAGTTCTTAAACTTTAAAAGTGTGGCTCTCTGAAAAATGACTCTATAAATATGGCACCCTCTTATTCAGCAATTCTTCCCTCAGCACTATGGTGCTAACACATCGAAAACTAAATTCTTTGTTGTGTAGGCACATTTGATGTGGAACCACTGAGAGTCAGACACAATGAACATGGAGCTCCACACAGCCATCTTTTTCATCCAAATATTTTTGTTGCAGGCACAAGGGAACAGTGAAATCAAACTCTCAGAAGAATAAAATATGCTGTAATACTCACTGATAGGACCACAGGGATTATTGGAACACTGGAAATACCAACTCCAGCACACACAAGCAGGACTCAGCTTCCAGCTAAACCAGGTCAGCTACAACAACATCGTAACATGCCACACAACAACTACACACCAAGATAAAGATACAGCACAATCTAGTGGTGGAGGTACTGCCTACGCTAATCATTACAACTTTCCCCTCTCTAGTTCAATAAGAATTTAAACAGGTTTCAGAGGAGCAGCCGTGTTAGTCTGTATTCGCAAAAAGAAAAGGAGGACTTGTGGCACCTTAGAGACTAATGCATCTGATGAAGTGAGCTGTAGCTCACGAATGCTTATGCTCAAATAAATTGGTTAGTCTCTAAGGTGCCACTAGTACTCCTTTTCTTTTTAAGAATTTAAACAGTAATTCTGGGGAATCTGGGCAACCTGCCCCCCCACACACAAGTTTTCTATTGGTCTGCCTGCTCAAGTCCTATATTCAGTCAATGAACCATCACTAATAGTTGGATCTAGATTATCAGCAAATGCAGGAGTCCTGTCCTTTTGGTCAGTCCTATCCATTGTGTTTGCTGAACCCTGAGTGTGTTGAGGTCCCAAGGACACCCTGGCAATTCTTTCTCCACAACTGGTCTCCCACCACGAGCCACAGGAACCTGCTAGGGTACTTCCAAATCGTCTTCTGCATCCCGCTGGGATGGTGGTTGAGCATCCTCAGTGTTGGCCCTCCCCTTTCTGTCAATATGTTTGTTCACCAGTTCTCAGTGTGCTACAAAGGGATAAGCTTTTGCTTCTAATATTATCAGCAAGGATAAATTGTTTAGGTTTTTTTTAATTACAGACAGACATAAGAACATAAAAAAGGCCATACTGGGGCAGACCAATGGTCCATCTAGCCCAGTATCCTGTCTTCCCACAGTGGCCAATGCCAATGCTTTAGAGGGAATGAATAGAACAGGGCAATTATCAAGTGATCCATCCCTTGTCATCCGGTCCTAGTATCCGTCAGTCAGAGGCTTAGGGACACCCAGATAATGGGGTTGCATCCCTGACCATCTTGTCTGTGAATCCATCTCCACAGGCATCCTTCTGGGTTGTGCTTGATAAGGAGCCACTGCAGGGCAGTGTGGTCTATGTTCACAGTGAATTTTGTGCCTAGTCAATTGGGATGATAGGCCTCAAGGGCTCCACAATAGCAAAATACTCCAATTGTGTAGCTGAATACTTGATGGCAGTAACTGTGATGGGGATGGTCATGCTCAGTGGTTGGAACTGTGGCAGTTTGCCTAGTGGTCTGAGCCAGGAGTCAGGGCTGGAATTGAAAGTCCAAAGTGGGGTTGGAGTGAGACCAGGGTGAGAGCAAATCCAGAACAGGACAAGAGCAAGAGCAGGGCCAAAGCAAGACTAAGAACAGAACTGGAGCAGGCAACAGATGTCCCATAAGGCAGAAGATAGTTCCAAGCCCTGAAGTGACACTGAACAGACTGAGCTGCTGTTCTTCCTGTGAGCCTTATATACCTTCCCTGAGAGTCACCAGATCAGTTCCTGACTTGTGGATTGGCTGGAGTGTAGCACAGGAGTTACATCATCTTAAATTTGGTTTCCCTCCCATTTAATTTGCTACCTCCAAAAGCCACCTACCAAGCTCATCAATTTAAGTGCAACCTTTGAGGCATCGCAGGTTACTATAAATGGGTGAGCTGGATCTGGAAATTTAAGCACAGCATAATTTAGAAATCCTTCCTTCAGTGACTCAAACACTTTTTGTTGTTCCTCCATCCAGACAAGGTCACTCCTGGTTAGCGGCTATAATGGTGCTGTCCGCTTTGCAGATTTTTTTACAAATCTATAGAATCTGCAGAGGCCTACAATCCACTGTACCTCCTCCCAGCTTGTAAAAACTTTACAGTCCTTTGTAACATTCAGTTTTTGTGGTTGGGGTTCCAACCCAGTCTCACTGACTACATGTCCTTGGAAGGTGATGCAACTCCTCCCAAACTGTCATTTGTTTCCTGAATATTTAAACCCTGACTCCTTAAAAAGCTTTAGAATCCTTTCCACTCCAACCAGATGTTTCTCCCACATCATCTAAGTATGTGAAGATGTCTTGATTACTCAAAATTTGTATTAGCTCATTTACTACCCTCTGAACATCCCTCGTGCATTCATGAGTCCAAAAGGCATTCTGTGGAATTGAAACAGTCTATAGGGTGTCACAAAGACAGTTTGTCACTACAACCTGATACGCCAGTGGAATCTGATGCGGGGGGGGGGGGTGCCTCACAAGAACACTCCCTATCTTAAGCACAATCTAATGTTACCCCCGATCATCTCTCCCAAACTCTTCATTATTCTTGGAGAACACACTAGCGCACTGTAAGAGCAGCTGTCTAATCGCTTCCTTCTGTTGTCTTCTGCAGCTTCTTCCATCAAGCCATCCCCACCCTAGTCCCTTTATTGATTGGGCCACTTCACAGCTCTTGATCTCTGGCCCCTGTGAGGTTTTGAGATACCAGCTACATTGGACACTATCCCCATGGTCTGATTTTTCATCAGCTGCATTTCCTGGTCAGTCACTTTAATTGCTCTTACACAGAACCCTTTGATCCAGCTTGAAAGAGGGTTTTATTAAACAGCAGTCCTGACTGGATATTGGTAGCTTCAAACACTCCTACAGAGTCACTGCAGGACCTTTATCCTTCGTGGTATTATTGTGTGATGACCTGGCTTCACCACAACTTTATTCCAAGCCTCCACATGCATCTGGCATGTAAATACCTTGCAATGCCGGCTACAACAGTGCCGTGCGCATGGCTGTTCTCACTTTCAGGTGACATTGTAATTAAGAAGTGGGCAGCATTATCTCCTGTAAATGTACACAAACTTGTTTCTCTTAGTGATTGGCTGAACAAGCTGTAGGACTGAGTGGACTTGTAGGCTCTAAAGTTTTACATTGTTGTTTTTTTGAGTGTGGTTATGTAACAAAAAAACCTACATTTGTAAGTTGCACTTTCATGATAAAGAGATTGCACTACAGTACTTGTATGAGGTGAATTGAAAAATACTATTTCTTTTGTTTATCAGTTTTACAGTGCAAATATTTGTAATAAAAAATAATATAAAGTGAGCATTGTTCACTTTGTGTTCTGTGTTGTAATTTAAATCATATATTTGAAAATGTAGAAAAATATCCAAAAATATTTAATACATTTCAATCGGTATTCTATTGTTTAACAGAGTGATTAATTTTTTTATCGCAATTAATTTTTTGAGTTAATCACGTGGCTTAACTGTGATTAGTCAACAGCCGTACAAATTATGTCTTCAACCAGGCCTGAAGAGCTCAGGTAGAGAATGTAATACATCCTGCGTCTGTATTACATTTTCAAGGCCCTCATTGGAAAAATCCCTTTTAAAAGGTGGCAGAACCCTTAAGACGCTGCAGAAATCTTTATAGAGCTAGAGAATGATGGGAGAGACAGGTGATCTGCACAGGCCATCAGCAGCAGGCCTGTTGCTTATCCCTCAGGATCTGAGGATTTTGTGGACAAGTCCTTAGGCCCCCTCCTGCTGGTTTTCCTCATAGGAGAGCATTATTGGGTGCTGTTTTTGGAATCTAAATGTTAGAACTATGGGGCCCCTGGGAATACCTATGATAGACACCGACTGCCATCCTAGTACACTGATGTTTAGCAAGCATTGCTACATCGGAGAAAAGAAAAATAATAGAAAATTGTCGATTTTCTTTACTTAATGGTAATAAGAAAATTGCAGACCTGGCACTGCTTCAGCAGCATATTGGGAATTCCCACTTTTGGTTACAGTATTCAGAGTCACAGAAATAGTTTAGACATTTAAAAATGTTAAATCGCTTATGTAGTTATTAAAGCATATCCAATTATACTCACTTTCATAATGTGAAGAATATGGTTTTACTGGATAACATCTGAAATCATTATTTATTCTTTTATTCTTCCTGGAAAAGACCTTATAGGGATCCTTTCAAAGTGTCAGTGAATAAGCACTCTGCTTTCTCTCTTCCAAATTCTTCAGCTTTCCTACCCATCATTTAAAATTTTTGGTCTCATAAGTGATTGAAGCATCTTTATTTGATTCTGGAGAATTTTCAGAGACAAAACAAACATATTGTTTGCCACTGTTAGTTCCCCCTTTTTTCTTGCAATTGCAAGCTCCTCTTAATCTTAGAACAGGTTGTGTTTTAAAACATGTTAGCAAATACATGTTCTTAATATGTTTTTAACCATCATTTAGCATCTAGAGTAGTCAAAGACAATGTACAGCTGGGCAAGCTAACACATTTTAGAGGTATTAATGTCCAGTCCACGATAAGTGTTTTAAAATGTGCTAGTTAAAATACGTTAGCTAACACAATTTTAAACATGACCTATTTTCCTACTGTAGACATGGCTAAACTGAGTAAAAAACTCAAGATCTTTATCAAGAATTCTTAAAACTACAACAACCA